CCACCAACAGATGAATGGATCAACAAACTGTGGTACAGCCATGCAGTGGAATACTACTCAACAGTAAAAAAGGGAGAGAACTTATTCACAGAACTTGATGGATCTCTAAACCATTAGGCAAAGTGAAAGAAGCCAGACTCCAACAGAAAGCAGATCAATGTTTGCCAGGGGCTCGGGTAGCACAAGGGGACTGCCAAGGGAACTTACTAGGTAACAAAAATGTTCTATATCACAATTATGATGACCTGAGTGTGTACTTTGTCAACACTCATCACATTGTACATTTAAAATTGGTAAGCTTTATTGTATGTAAATTATGCCTTGATATTGTTGCTTTTTAGAAAATAATACTCTTCTCAAGGTCACCTAAGCCTCCATATTCCACATGAGGAATAAAGCAGGATCACCTTCTGAGAATGGACTGGGAAGGGAATGGGTTGTGAGGAGAGAGGCCAAGTAATAATGGACTTGTTGTAGAAAGGTGCAGAGCCAGCTGGTGGAGAGGTAGAGTGGGCTCCCATGTGAAATTTCTGATTGTGAATAAATCAACCAATGACTTTTCTAGTCAGCTGAATGACTCTTGTCCAGCAGATGTAGAACAGGCAGGAAGTTGGCTGTAACCCAGATTCAGGTTTTGCCTGGTATATTATCCATTGCTGTGTAACAGTTATCATGAACTAAGTGTGTCAAACAACACACATTCATTACCTCACAGTTTCTGTGGTCAGGAGGCCTGGCAAGGCTTACATGGGTTCTCTGCTCAGGGTCTTACAAGGCTGTGATCATGACACTGGCCAGGCTCATCTGGAGGCTTGACTGGGGGAATAACCACTCTCAAACTCATTCAGGTGGTTGGCAGAATTCACACCCTTATGCTATGTGATGGGGCCCTGGCTTTTTGCTGGCTGCCAGTTGAATCCTGCCCCTGAGGCCCCAGAGATCACTCACAGCACCTTGCTCCATGGACTTCTCCAACATGGCCACTGACTTCATCAAACTTTCAGGGAGAGTCCCTTTCTCCAGATGGCTAAGACAGAGTCTTACGTAAGGTAAGAAAATCGTGGGGGGACATCCCATCACCTTTGCCATATGATGTAGCTTCACCATGAGAGTGACATCCCTCACCTTTGCCATATTCTATTGATTAGAACCAAGTCACAGGTTCTACTTGCACATAGTAGATGGGATTGATTGTACAGGGTAGGGACACCAGGAGGCGGGGGGTCATGGGGTCATGGGGGCCATTATAAAGTCTGTCCCCACACCTGGTGATTGCAATGGAGGGAGGGGTGGGGCAAGGACTAAGGTTATTTGAAGGGGTGCCCTCTTAGCAAGGTAAGGAAAGAAGTGAAACGAGGAGGTGACCAATGGCTGGGAAGGGGTTGTGGGGCCAACGATTTGAAGAACTCTGTGAGGTTGGAGAATTTCTGCCATGGGAAGGCTGAGCAGAGGGAACTTGAAGGAGAGCACATGGTGGCTGGAGGATGGGATGTTTGAAATCAGGATTCTCCAGAGGAGACGTTTTTGGTGATGGTGGGTTCTGTGGGGGTGGGCAGTTGAGGTGGTGTGAAGGTGGTCACTGGAATTGGGGAGGTCTACATGGCCTCCCTGCTCCCACCCTTGTCACTCTCAGTCTCAGTCTGTTGTTCACACCATGACTCCTAATATGTACGCCAGATCAAGAGTCTTCTGGACACTAATTCTTCCATGCCTTCCTGCCTCACTCAGAATAAAATCTAACATCCTCTCATGACCTGTCCCCCACCTCTCTGAGACTTTATCTCCTGCCACTCTCCCCCTGCTGTCTACACCCCAGCTACACTGGCCTCTGGGACTAGACCGTGACCCTCCCTGCCTAGAACACCCTCCCCTCTGAAGGTTGCATGGCTCCCTCCCCCTTCCTCCCCTCCCTCCCTCCCTCTCCTTCCCTCTTCTTCCTTCCCTCAGCCTCTTTCCTCTCTCCCCCTCTCTCCTTCCTCCCTCTAGTGTCAGTTCAGACTGTCATGTTAGGTAAAATAGCACCTTCCCCCCATCACTCTCTGTTCCCTTATCCACCCCATCCTTCTTCCCCATACAGCATTTCGTGTATTTATGTACTTGTCTAGGTGTTTATCATCTGTCTCCCTCCATGAATCTGGGGCTTTGTTTTAGTTACTGCTGTATCCCAGCAGCTAGATGAGTGCCTGGCACATAGTCAGCACTCCCTATGTGTTGTTAAGAAGGCAGACAGAGCTGGTTTCTATGTCCTGAGGGGTGGCTGTGTTGATACTGATGGGTGTGAGGCCAAAGCCTTGAGGTATAAGCCAGGAGTTGTTGTGGAGGCCTGGGTACCCCTCCCACCCCAATATGGGGAAGGGGTGAACACAGAAGATGGAACACTTAGTAGGCACTTAAGAGCTCTGCCACCTATCAGCTGTGTTACATTGGATGCGTCACTTAATCTCTCTGAGCTTCTGTTTCTTCAACTGTAAAATGGAGATAATAATAGAAACAAAACCTAAACTGTGGAGCTGTGCAGATAAACTCAGACCCCACATGTAAAGCACTTGATACCAGGCTTGCACATGGCAAGTGCTCGGTAATGGTTGGATAATGGGAGACAGAGAGCATGAGAGGGGGAGGATCAGAGGGAGAAGCAGACTCCCCGCTGAGCAGGGAGCCCGATGCGGGACTCGATCCCGGGACTCCAGGATCATGACCTGAGCCGAAGGCAGTCGCTTAACCAACTGAGCCACCCAGGCGCCCAGGACTTCTGTGTGCCTACTTATGATCCATGACTCTCTGCTGCTGTCCAAACAAGCTCTGCCATTTGCTGTTTTTCTAATCTGGGGGCAAATTATTTTGCCTGAAATATGACTGGGCTTTTTGTCTGCGTTACAGAGATAATAATTCCTGCCCTGGCTCCCTTGACCAAATTGTCAAGGGGCATGAGTGAGGTAACCCCCTTGAAGGCACTTGAAATGTAATGTGCTGTGCCTTATGAAGCATTCCTACTGTTCCTTCTCGTTGAGTGATTCCTTTTAGGGTTGCTGGAATTGTTCATTATTTTACTGGGGCTCCAACAAAGCATCTGGGTGCCTGGGCTGGAGTGTTACACACTGGACTTCCTTGAGCAAAGCAGGGCAGTCCAGATCTTGCCCAAAGGCCTGAGCCAACGCTGACTTTAAAATGGCCCTTGGGCTCAGGGTTGGCCCCTGAGGTTGGCCAGCCAGCTTTCTAAGATTCATGGGCTGAATGACACTCTTGCTTCTTTCTACTCTGACATGAAGTTTAAAAAAAAAAAAAAAGTCCTGAGAGCTGGGGTCTTTGGAGACCCAACGCCTGGCCCCTCTTCACCCACCACTGTCAAGTAATTAATGAGGGCCCTCTCAGCAGCCCTATTCATGAGAGACTTAACTTCCACAAACAGAGCCCACAGCTCTGTGAGGCCCCACATTTTACCAGAGCTCCAGGCAGGCTGTGTCAGTTGGAAGAGAAGCAAGCAGGACAGCCAGTCTGGGTCAGGGAAGGTATGAACGTCAGTCACGTCCTCCTCCCCAGTTGGGAGCCAGGATGCTGGAAGGAGGCCCTCAGGGGCCCATATGGCACACAGTCCCCCCAGGGGAGGCTGATCACTTGTGGGTGAGGCCCACTGGTAACAAGCCCTCCTACTCTTACACTGTGTTTTCTGGGGGAGTTCTCTAGAGCACTGGGCCCAGTACAGACACAATTCCATTTGAGGGAATCTAACCTACCCTTGTGGAATCAGAGAATGGTAGGTGGCATATCTATACTTGGTTCATTAAACTCAAAGTAAATTGATCTCCAGATCATGGGTGTGCATGTGCGCGTGCACACAGACACACACACACACACACAGCAGTCATAGCTTCCAATGGACCTCCCAGGCTGGGTGGTAAGGGCCAGGTGATAGAGACTATCTGTCAATATCCATTCACACCTCTTTCAGAGAACAGGGCTAAAATGCATTTCCCAGCCTCCTTTGCAGTTTTTTTTTTTTTTTAAGATTTTATTTATTTATTTGACAGAGAAAGACACAACGAGAGAGGGAACACAAACGGGGAGTGGGAGAGGGAGAAGCAGACTCCCTGCTGAGCAGGGAGCCCGATGCGGGACTCGATCCAGGGACTCCAGGATCATGACCTGAGCCGAAGGCAGTCGCTCAACCAACTGAGCCACCCAGGCGCCCCCTCCTTTGCAGTTTGATGTGGCCAACCATCAAAGTTCTCACCAAGAGAAAGTGGATGGACATAGACAGGCCACTTCTGGGTCTAAGTTTAAAAAGACTGGTCATGCCTATACCAGACTCTTGTTCCCTTCTTGCTGGCTTGAATCCGTGGAGACCTCGCTTCAACCAGGTAGACCCAATGCCCTAGGGGATGGTGAGGAATCAAGATGGCAGGAATCTGGGTTCTAGAATGTCTGCATTGAGCAGAGTTTCTGGCTGACTTGGAATATTCACCAGGCATTTACACAAGAAATAAATAAGCTTCTGTCTTCTTTCATCCACTGAGTTATTGCTGGGCCTCTTTGTTACAGCAGCCAAGCTTTACTCTCCCTAGCACCAGGGAGAAAAGCATGGTGGGATGAAGGCTTCCCGGGCTAACATAATAGTCCAGCCCAAGTCCTTAAGGCCTACCACTGAATGTCGTTGGCTTTGTAACAGGAGGCATCTTGGGAAGGAAGCTGTGTACTGTACTGGTTAAGACTGAATCAGATAGACCTCCATTTTCATTTTGACTGGAACATTGATTAGTATTGTAAATTTTGGATGCTTTCACTAACAAACTGAGTCTCAATTTCCTCTTCTGTAAAATGGGGGATAATAATGTTCTTGCTCTCTGGGCTATAGGGAAGATTATATGAGACAATGTAAGTCAAGGGCTCAAAATGTTTACTGTTATTAATGGAATCAGCTGATATTCAGGCCTGATTTTTCCTACTCTCTCTCCCCAGGAAAAAGAAAAGGAAGCTAATATCTTGAGTTTTTCACAAAGTCAAAAAATACTCAATGACTCTTGATTGAATTACAAATCCCCAAAGCTTTCAACACAAAATGTTTCTTAGGCATCTACCATGGGCCAGGGGCTAGGAGGGGCTTGGAGGACAGAGATGCCCTTGTGGAAACTAATTTCTGCTTTGCTTCTCAGAAAGTATGAGTTCTTTTTAGGCTCACAAACTGGAGTCCAATTCACCTACTGAATGGAAATTTATGTTGACTAGGAAAGAAATCCCAACTCTTCTTCACACCTCCTTTTGGGATGTCTGGGCTCTGTTGCACACAGGTTAAATCATCATCTCTGGGGCCTGGGCAATGATGTTTTTAAAAAGCATCTAAGTGTTTCCAATGAATAGGTAGACTTGAGTCTGAAAACTCCTTCTCCCAGTCACTACCCCAAGCAAGACTTTCTTAAACAGGTCCGATCTTGGCATTTACCTTGGCATTCACCTGGCAAAACCTTCCATGGCTTCCATTGCCTATCAGCTAAAGCCCAAACTCTGCATGGCACCCAAGGTTTCCCCCAGTTTGGATCCGGTCTCTTTCCATTAATGACACTAATGGGCTAAGATTGACGGTCTCATATGACTCAAGCTCTGGGGTGAAGGCTTTCTGTGTGCTACCCCATTCGATCTCCCCTAACTTTAGGAGATGGTGTCTTGGCTTAGTTTTCTCATCTGTAAAATGGGAACATTCCATGAAAAGCATTACCAACAGTGCCCAGTACATAGTTACCACTCAGTTAATAGCCATTACTGCATTATCCCTATTTTATCAATGAGGAAGTTGAGGGTTAGGGTTGTTAAGTAACTTGCCCAAGACCACAACCCTGATAAGTGACAGAGGTGGAGGCTGAACCCAGGAAGCCTGGCTTCAGTGCCCAGGCTAGCCTGCCTTCCCTTTGTTCCTGAAGGCCCGTGCTCAACTTAGAACCAACTCGCAGGGCACCCCGCAACGTCTCCAGGTCTTTGCACCAGGGTTCCCTGTTCTGGTAGAATGGCTCTTCTGGTTCTCCTTCAGGAAGTCTTCCTCCCAGCTGTCCCCCCTCCCCCATGGCCACCCCAGGCAGAGGCAGACATCCCCCCTGGGTCCCCTCAGCCTTCTCATCACCCCTGGCTCCACCACGCCTGGCCTGGTGCGGAGCAGACCTCTGCAAATGTGTGTAGGATTGATCGCAAGCCAGATCCATCAGGGCAAGAGTGGAGAACAATACCTGCTGGAGGGACGCCTCCCTGGTCTCAGCTGTCAGTGTGCGCTCCAGCGCGAGCACACTCGCACTTTTCTCTGGCCAGAGCCTTCCCACCATTTGCCAGAACTTCCAGTCCCTTGGCCCTGCCTCTCACTTTGCTCTCCAGCCTCCCTGCAAAGTCAGCCAGTTGGGGGCGGGGAGGGAGGTTCACCGCTCAAGGGCCTGTATTATCCAGCAGAGTCTGGAAGATTCCTCACCTCCCCAGTTCATTTATTTGACGAATATTTATTGAACACCAACTTAGAGCCAGGTACGGTGCTTGGCACTGGGTCCAGGGTGGAGAGCAAGCCACACATAGTCTCTGGGCCCACAGAGCTTACGTGCTGGTGGGGGAGATGATCAACCAAGAAGTAAACACACATGGATGTGCAATGGCAAGTGCCTTAAGGAGGGAAAGAATACAGGGCTTGGAGATTGATGAACTAACTATTCAAGCACAGAAGTCAAGGAAGCCTTCTCTAAGGAGGTGAGTTTAAGCCAAGGGTATAAAGAGCTCAGTCATGCAGAAGGTAGGGGAAGCGCATTCTGGGCACGGGAAGAGCATATGCCAAGTCCTGGAGGTGGGAACAGGCTGGAATGTTGAGGAAATGAAGGAAAGCCAGAGTGGCAGAAGCACAGTGAGCAAGGTTGGAATTGGCTGGAAGTGAGGTTGGGACAAGAGGAAGAGCTTGCATTTTATCTTGGGAATAATAGGGTAATAGTGTAAGGGTTTTACACCAGAGTTGGTATGATATGATTTGCATGTTTAAAGCTCTCTCTGGTTGCCTTGAGAACTGAGTGACAAAGCAAGACGGAAGCAAGATGACCTTGTGGACGGCAGTGATCTGGGGGCAGGTGAAATGGCCAGACCAGGGTGATAGCTGGGGGCTTGGAGAGAAGTGGATGGACTCCAGAGATCTCAAGAAGTAGAATCTTTCAGAGGTTTTTAGAAGAACTAAAACAACTTTATTGGATGCCTGCTACAGCCCCAGCAAGGGGGTAGGAGTCGGGGACACCAGAAAGGCTTGGGAATAGAAACAAAAGATACAAATCCTCAACCACGAAAACAAATACATAGTCACCTTTCTCATTCACCATCTCTCAGATGCTGAAAGTTCTGGGCCATTTCCACCTCATTCGATGGTGTCAACATTCTCCTGGAATTGGGTCCTGGAAATGTGGAAATGGGTTTCCCATATTCTCAGGCTATGGAGTTGCCGAACTGTGGGACTGCAGCACTGACCTGGTACCCTGGGAGCAGGGAGCCGCCAGCTGGGATAGCCCGGGAGAGGAGGAGGAGGGGCGGGAGGAAGATTAGGAGCAGAAGCAGTTCTTTCTGCCCTCTGTGACGAAGATGAAGTTGGGCTCTTCCCTTTGTCACCTCCCTGTGCCCACCTCTCCCAACTCCTGGGAGCCTGCTGACTTGCCCTGCCCTCCCTGTCTGTCTCCGTCAGGAGCACCCCTGGCCGGTGACCCACTCCCTGGAATGCTGCCCTCGCTCCCCACAGCTGCACATCTCAGATGCATCCAGGAGGACAGAAATCTGATCGAACAAACACTGAGGACTGAAAGAATACATTAGCTCTTCATGCCTCCTGGAGGAATTTGCCTTTTCAAAAGAGATTTCTGGGTCGTTTAAATGATCTCTGCCCTCTGCCCCATTTCTCCAAAAGGGCCCTTTCCCCCAGGGTTTTAGCAAACTCTATGTCTGAGCCCAAGGATCTCCTCAATTTAGTCTCTGGGGGCAGTAGTTCCATCAAAGGGTGGGCGTGAAAGAATCTTCCCGGGGTGACATTCGAAAGAAGTATTTACCAACCAGTGTGGGGGCCTGGGGGAAAGCCACATGGGGCAGCGGGGCATTTAGAGGCCCTTAAGGGAAGCAGATATCTGCCAACAAGCAGAGAAGTGGCTCTACGTTTTAACAGCGGGTCTGGCAACACGGGTCCAGCTGAACATCAGTCCCGGGGCTGCCCCAGTCCTGTCTGGCCTCTGCTGTTCTGCTGGGAATGGTGGCCACAGGCCATTTGATCCCTCCGTTAGAGGATGAGCGGCCAGGGCTGGAGCTGGGTCCTGAAATGGCCTCTGAGCAGAGCCAGCTGCGTGACATCCTGGGTGAACAGGATCTCAGGCCCTTGACCCGCCGTGTGACCGTGAAGGGCCCAGCCGCCTCTGACTATCCTTCCTCTCGCCCCTCCTTGCAGTTATTTTTGTCCAGCTGACAGCCCTTGGCTGTCCCACAGTCTGAGCTCTGCGAGCCGGATGCAAACCAGGCAGCACAAACGTCTGGTGCTGAATCCCAAGAGGGCCCCTCCGGGGGCGCCATCACATGGGAACGTGACCCTCCACGCTGTGCACCCAACAGGGACCAGGCATCTGGAGGATGGTGATGGTGCGAGAAGCAGGGAGCTGGGTTCTCTGCTCAATCCCGGCTCTTGTCTGGGAGCGCTGTCCCAGGCCTGGTGGTAAGGACCCCCTGTTTTGGAGCCTTATTGCTGCCCAGAAACCTCCCATCTCCATGCAGGGAACTGGGGGTCAGCCGGAATTTAGGTGTCTGCAGCAGGGAAGACCACCCGAGCAGGCCCTACTGGGCCCCTAACTGCCAGGCCTTGGCTGTGGTGGCAGGGGGGCCTGTCCTGTGGTTCACTGCAATGGGGTGGGCAGGGGCAGACGGGGGTTCCCCAGAGACTGCTTTGTGGCCCCTGCTCTGTTACTGTCTCCGGAAGTGAGGCAGACACTAAGTTCTGGCCCTGGGAGCCTGGGAAGGCTGCACAGTCAATCACTGCTCAGGCTGGGTTCTGAACTCTCTAGGCAAGCAGCCGGCCTGAGGCCATTGTGCCTTTTAGGGTCAAGCTTAGTTCCCAGACGTTGGATTCATGCCTGCTGCCCCCAGGAAAGGGTCTGGGCAAAGCTTGTAGGGGCCCTCCCAGGGCTTATTTGTCCCAGGTAAGAAATGAGACCAGGCCTCTGAGATCAGAACAGCTCCAGGAGAGCTGGGTCTGTAAGCTGGGATGGGCAGTGAGGAGGGGAGATGGGCCAAAGGAGGAAGGGGCCTCTGATGGGTGAGGAAGATGCCTTTGCAGACAGATGAGCCAGGCCAGGAAGCAGGGCAGAAGACAGCACTGTTTTTAGAGCTCCTGGAAAAAGAACCCTCCTCGCTATTGGGGAAAAGCCAGCTCAGAAAGCCCCGATTTCAGTGATTTCGGAGACCCAGGAGTGGCAGAGCACGGCTCCTGCTGGCCTCCCAGCTGCCCCTGGGGAAGAGGGCCTGGGGGCAGGAACAGCCACATAAGCAGGGGACCCCACGATGCTGGGGGGCATGGGGGAAGAAGATCGTAGGAGGGGTGCCATGTGGCTGCTCCTGGCAGCCCTGATGCTGGGGGCCACGGGCAGGGGGGCGGCTGGCCTCTCCAGGGGGCGGGCCCTCCGCGTGGAAGATGCCCCTCGACTGGGCAGCAAATTCCTGCGGACTGGCAGGACGGTACCAGCAGCTCTACGCACAGGAGTGGTTCGGAGGGCCGGGATGGGGTAAGCGAGAGAGGAGGCGCTGGGGAGGATGGGACCAGGCACTCTTCCCAGGATGGTGAGCTGGTTGCTTGGGGCTGACAGCCCTGGACAGCTATGGAAGAAGGACCAGGGCCAGGCAGGGAAGGCCAGGGGGCCAGCGGGCGTGGGAGAAGGCTCCATCTCGGCTGCATAGCTGTTGAGGTGCGAGAGAAGACGAATCCGGACAGGGTCTGCACGGCTGCTCGGCCCTTCCAGGACCCCCAGGTACCTGATGACCTCGGTGAGGCACTCCCGAAAACCGATGCTCCGGAAGTCCACTGCCAAGGCTCGGGCATCAAAGAATCCTGCAAAGCGAGGCGTGATGAGGGTGTGTGCCAGGCGAGGGCCAAGTGCTGATCTGGGGTCAGACCTGTGTGACCTTGGGCATGCCACCTCACGTCTCTGAGTCCCAGTCTCCACATCTGGAAAGTGGGAATAATCACCCCTACCTGGGATAGAGGGGGGGGCACTGTGATGATCAAATGAGTTCACTGAACTACGAAGCATGATAAAATGTAGAGTACTGTTTTCATTGAAATTCACGATGAATGCAGAGAAGAAACTTGGCGACCAAGATAATGTCATTTAAGTGGACACTTGCCAGGCGTGAAAGACCTGTGCCCATGGGAGGTGGCGACCACAGCCGTCAGGGCCGGGGGTCCCCCCACAGAGAAGGCAGCATAGTGTCATACTGAAGCCTGAGGTCTCTGGAAGCCAGGAGAGCTGAGTTCAAATCCCAGCTCTGCCACTTAACTAGTGGCCTGACCACGGACAGGTCTCTTAATCTCTCTAAGCCTCAACTTGCTTGGCTATAAAATGGGCACATAGTAATACTTACTGCACAGGGCTGTGAGGGTGAAACTAAGTGCAGTGGTGCCCAGAAATAGTCCATGAACTCAAAGTTAGCCATCATTTACACTTGACCCTTGAACAGCATGGGGATTAGGGGCACCGATTCTCCCCCAGCACAGCTGAACACCTGAGTAAACTTTTGACTCCCTGCCAAACTACTAGGAGTGAGAACCACCAGAGATCACTTTTACTGTGATAGCAATTTCCTGGAGAGAAGGACTGCTCTGGCAGAGATGATTAGTGCCACATGGGGTCTTAAGCAGATACTCGCAACCCTTGAGCTCACCACAAGGGCAACAGGAGGGGGCTAGGAAATTATTACTGGAGTACGGTAGGTATATGCCATAGTTAACTCTATGCAGTTATGATTCTACTACATCTTTACATTTACATTTCTCCCCACTGCAAATGGCACCATGTGCAGTCTGAAAGGGTTTGTACGAGGAAGTTTTGCTAAATTTTAACTTCAGTAATGGATGTGTGTATATTTTATGGTAGTGAGTGATAAAACAGACTTGTATCTACATCTACGTTATGCATTCATGACATACCTAACTTTTTCTTAATTTTTTCAATATTTCTAGGCTATGTGGTATGTCTACAATTTTTTTTCAAACGGCTGCAGATCTCCAAAAATGTTTCCACTTAATGCAAAAACTCTGCATGGAAGTGAATCTGTACTATTCAAACCTGTGTTGTTCAAGGGTCAACTGTGTATTACTGGCTTGGCCCCTGAAGGCATGTGAGTTTGTCCCCTAGCCTGAAGGGCAGTCAGGAAAGCAGGACCCCACTCTGGTCCTCAGCTGCCGACATCAGTCTGGGATCCTCAGTTTGGCTGGTTTCAGTGAAGTCTGACCAGGTGGCCTGGCCACAGAGGTATTCGGTTCTCACTGCCTTTCCACCTGCCCCTCTCTCAATCATCTTCTATGCATAGACAGACCAGCCTCAATGGGCACTGACCTCATGACTCTGGCTGCAAATATCTGGTCCCTGGTTCATGGCCGAGGCTCCCATAGAGGGACAACTCTGCAGGGGATGGTGTTTGGAGTCAGGCCTCCTTGGAGACAAGACCTTACTCAGCTGTATACTTAGTTTCTGTGTTTGCTGTTCTTTTTCAGCTAACATTTTCTGAGTTCTTATTAAGTACTCAAATTTACATTATCTGATTTAATTCTCAGAAAAATCCTATCATTATTATCATTCCAGGGATGAGAACATTGAGGCGTAGAGAAATTAAATCACTTGTCAAAGGTCATAAAGCTAGCAAGTAATAGAGCCAAATTCACAATTCATGGGATTTGAATCAATTCAATTCAGGATTCTAACCCAAAGCCTTGCTCTAAGCCAGTCCTGTCCTCCCATTAGCCCTTGGCCGGAGAAGGGTGATGCCAACAACCCCCAGTCTCAAGATTCTTGTGAGAATCAAATGAGATAACATTGGTGAAAGCATTTTGAGACTATAGAATTCTGGCCAAAATATTAGTCACTATTTTTCTTTGAATTGGATACCCATAAATGTAGCTGGAGAGCTCTCCCCCACCGGTTGATTAGAATCAGTTTTCACTGTTGGCCATGCATTCCTTTGGCAGAAGTTCTCCAAGTGACCACCTGCATCAGGGTCATCGGGCGTGCCTGCTAAACTTGCAAATTCCTAACCTTCAGGCCAAGCCTCCTGGCTCAGAATCTCTGGGGTGTGCCCTGTGACTGTCTGCCCCCAGATGATACTGTGGCTCACTGAAGCCTGAGAAGCACCAGGCTGGGTCACTTGAAATGTGACTGCCCCCTCCAAAGGTGGCCAAGTTAAGGTTTTAGGACTTAGGTCTTTGTGGCCCAGGTTTGTGGAGATTTCAAGATTTCTCAATTGTGAAATCGCCAAAATACACAGTGAGGCTTCATGCAAACAGAATTTCCATTTGTTCAGAAGTCTTTTTAAGGCCACAGTTTCATGACTTCACTGCAATGGACCAGCCCAAAATAACGGCACGAGTTACATTTGGGTTCTACTATAATCCCACGACGGGTCTTCGCTGTGAGCATGACCTCAGCACCAGCCCAGAAGGCACACCAGTGAACATCTGTGGCTAAACATCTCAGGCAGGCCCCTCCCAGGGTTTCCACTGGGATCCCAGTGAGAATGAGTTCATTCGGGCTAAGGCTTAAGGAGGGTGGGGGTTAAGGCGGGGAACCTGTAGGGAGAGGGCATCTACGCAGACCCCCTCCAAGGGCTAACTAAGGCTGGAAGGAGTGGAGTAGAGGACCAGGTGGGGACCACTGGGGACACTGACAGTGGAGAGGGTAATGCTGAAAGGAGAGAGCCAGGCTTTGGGACAGTTGCACCTGGACCTGCTTCAGCCCCACCATAGACCATGAGTTCCTTGAGGCCAGGGACCATGTCTACTTTGCTCACCAGTGGATCCGCAGGGCCTAGCCCCCAGATATGTGTTTCATGAATGACTCCCGGGAGAGAAGAGCATCGGTACCTGTCCCACCAGTGGCGTGGAGCATTTTCAAGTGATCCACTGTCATCTGCAGGACCTCGGCCTTCTCCAGCTTGGAGGAGCCCTGCGTGTACAGAAGACAGAAGAGTGAAGGCTTCCAGCTGACCTCTCGCTCCCCTCCCTATGGTGTCATCAGCCCTCACCGGCTCCCTGTCCCCATCTTCTTCCCACTCCACCATGGCCTGCGGGGGGGCTTCTGCTTCGGCCAACATTTCCCAAACGAACAGATTCTCTTCAGTTCCCATTTTAGTCTGTGTGCGCCCGCTGCATTGCCGAGCATCCTTCCCGAAACCCCTCCTTCCCTTGACTGCCGTGACACCACTTTTTCTAGCTTCTTCTTCCACCTTACTCTGCCTGTTCCCTTAAAATGGGGCTGTTCCCCAGTGGGCACTGGCTCCCTTTCCTCACTTGGCACATTGTACCTGGCAGGTCTCATCGACCTCCATGGCTTAGCGCGCCATCCCCAGAATGCCACTCCTGCGTACCCACCTGCCTCCTAGACCAGCTTCCCTGGGAATCCAACTTCACGCTCACCACGCCCCAGATCTAGCTCATCCTCTTAGCCCCACAGCACTTGCTCTTTTTCTATTCTCTCTCTTGAGCAATGCTTGCTACGCCTATAGCATCACCTGGTCTCCCAGGAGAAACCTGAGGGTCAGACTCTCCCCGTGAGCTCCTGAGGGCAGGCACCAGGTCTAGGTCACAGCTGGGCCTGTGGAAGCGTCAGTGGACGTCTGTGGAATGACCGACTTGTTCTCACCAGCATAAAGGAAGGCACATGACCCATGACCGTGCATTGGAGCACAGGGTGGAGAATCTTTGAGACTGTCTGATTGATTCACCGTCCGACCCCCTTCCCACTGTCACCTGCTCCCCACCCCCATGGGCAGCGGCAGGGTGTTCACACCCCAGCAGCCTGTTCTGCTTTCAAACGGCTCTGGAACTGTCAGCAGTGCAGAGGGCGAGGGGGCTCTAGACTCACACAGTTCTGTGGTCCGGTTCTGTTCTGTGACTTCCTAGCTGTGTGATCGAGTGCAAGGTACTTCACCTCTCTGTGCCTCAGTTTCCTTACCTGTGCAATGGGCATAATCATCCCTAACATTCAGGATCGTTTTAAGGATTTCTGTCAAGGGGATGAGGGACAGAAAGCCACAACACTGGAGACACCAGAGTAAATATAAATTTCCATGCCCTTTCTCCCTGGCAGATATCAGGAGGTGACAGATACCAGCAAACGAGGTGCCAGCACTTCAAGCAGCTGCTACCAATCAATACGACATACCACGAAGAATGGGCCGTATCTGCCACCTGCGTGGGGTTTCCTCTGGTACCATCAGGAATATCACATACCTGTTTCTCAAAGGCGGTGGGGACCAAGCGTCGCAACTCAGAAAGGCTGCTGTTGATGCGGTCTCGGCGCCGCTTCTCTATGATCTAAAACACAATGACAGGAATTTACTCGTGGGCACTTCGCCAGTTTCCAACGTGCTTTGAGGGACACGGATTCATATCTTCCTTCACAATATTTTTGTGAGGGAGAGAAATCTGTTCTTACTTAATGGAGGAGGAAATCGAGGCTCAGAGAGGGGCTATGACTTGCTTAAGGTCACACAGTAAAGAAGTGCAAAGCTGGGAGCGGAACTCCAATCTCTTGTCTTGGTCTGCAGGGGTGATGTTCAAAATGCAAAACGGCAGGTACAACAGGAGACCGGCCCATTAGAACAGGGACACCAGCCACAGCCCTGCAGCAGGCCCTGGAGGCTCCTGCAGGCCAAGGTTACCCCTTCAGTTGCTGGGTGGTGAAGGGGCATTGCTTCCAGCTGGGGAGGCCTCTCATTCACACAACCTCATTCCCACCTCACCCTACTGGTAGCGGAATACTGATAGCAGGGCAGACATTATGACCCCTGTTTTACAGATAAAGATGAGGGCTGGAAGGAATGGTTTGCCTAAGTGAGGGGCAGGGCTGGTCTCTGCCACATTCCCGGTCTTTGGACCCCCAGGACAGAAGCACAGCTACATCCTGGGGACAAAGGGCAGGGGGCTGGCATGAGGCAGCAGAGAGCCAGCCAGGGAGCCTCCTTCTTCTGTTCCCCTCCCACACCCCTCAGCACCCTGAGAGGAAATGAAAGTTCTGGGCTTGGAGAGAAGAGGGGGAAGGCTGGAATAAACAGTAAGGGCTAACTGTGAGTCAGGTGTTGTCCTGAGTGTAATTCATTTAACCTCCAAAACCGCCCTGTGAGGTACGCACCCTCATTGGTTCGGTTACACAGTTGAAGAAATGAGGCACAGAGAGGTTAAGTGGCTTGCCCAAAGTCTCTCCGCTAGCTACTGGCAGAGCCAAGACTGGCCCTCAGGCAGTCTAGATGGGGGTGATGTTTCTGACCAGGGTTCTCCGGGCCAGGCCCCTGGGGACTCAGGGCAAAGCTTCGACGGGCAACTCTGCCAAGACAGACACTCACCCCTCTGCGTTTCTTCCTGGCTTGCATCTGCGAAGGGCTGGGGGTGGACAGCGGCCTGGCCATCTGGCTGCAGGAGAAGAGAAAGGCTGATTTTTCAGAGCTGGGGGACCATCTCCCTGGCCCCGGCTGACCTTGGAGGAGGTGGGGATGTGGGCCGGCACCGCCCCCTCCCAGGAGGGCCGTGGTCTCCCCGGCGGCAGAGGACTCCCAGGCCGGGAAGCGGCGCAGGGCAGGCGTGGGTGGGAGCCCATCGCTCCCCCCCCACCCCCCACCCCGCCAAGTCGCCCCTGCGCTCGGTTTCCTGCCCCAGGGCCGCGCGGCTGCTGGGGCAGGGGGTGGGGGCTGGGCTCCCGGCCCGACCCGCTCGGCCTCGCCCCCTGCCCCTCGCCCCTGGCCGCGGGCGTCGGGGAACCGCAGCGGGCCGCCGCACTCCTGCAACCCGATCCCGGGCGGCGGCGGCGGCGGCGGCGGCGGCGGGGCCGGGCCGGCGGGTTGGGTTTCAGAGGGAGCCGCTGGGAAGAGCGTGGAAAGAGCAGATGCCGCCGCTTCCCACGGGCCGGGCGCGCCCGCCGCCCGCCCTCCGCCCCGCCGGCAGCTGCCGCCTCCTCCCACGCAGCGCGGCCCGGGCGAGGGGGAGGCGGCATCTGGGTCACAGGCCCCCTCGGACTCTCGGGACGCTGTCCTGGCCTCCCCCGAAGGCTGCAGCCCCGCATCGCGTCGGGCCGCCCCTCCGCCCCTCCGCAGGCCTGGCACAAGACGGATATTTGCTCGCACTCCGGGAGTCCCCATCGCCGGGAAGAGACTCAGCCTCCGGGGCGGGGGGGCGGAATGGGGGGTTCTCTCTTGCCCCGACTGACCGAAATCTTCTCCAGCCCAACCGCTCGCCCCGCTAACGGCTTCCTGCTTCAGAGGCTCTCCCGGAACAGAGGGGATTCGCGGGGCTGCACGGAGGGCCATTCATTTGGCCAACACCCCGGAGGCCCCATTCAGGTCCAGGGCTGGACTGGATGCGGTCCGCCAGGCCCCCGCCGTCCAGACGCTCAGCTCCCAGGGGGAGATGCCCTATCCACGAATAATTTAAACAAGGTGACTCCCCTCCTATTTCCAAATACAAAATGCCACACATCTGAACTCGTACCCGTGAGCTTACCTCCACCTCCACCACCACCCCTGTCTTCCCCCTGGACCCCCATCTCAGCAAAGGCATCCCATCTCCCAGTTCTGCGAGGCCCCCTGGCCACCACTACTTTTGATTCCTCTTCTGTCCTCACCCACCTCATCCAAAAGTGCCCATTCCATGTCTGAGATATGTCTCCCCTCTGTCCTGTTTATTTCCACTGCTGCTCAGAGGACCAAACCTCTATCATCTCTCATGTGGACGGCTGCAGGATTCTATTGCTGGGACCCTTTGCACCCCTTTGACCCCCTACAAACAGGCCCAGTGATCATTTAAATACACGTCTGATTTTGTCACTCTCTTAAAACTCCTCAGGGCCTTCCCAATGCTTTTAGGATCGAGGCCATCATCTTTCAGGTGGCCCAGCTGGCTCTTGTCACCACCTAGACTCAACTCTCCTTTGCTCTGTATGCCTCAGCCTGTGATGCTTCACTCCTTCCTGTGGTAGCACATACTGCCCCCCTGGCCTAGAGTTCTCTGCTGCACCCTGTCTCCCCACCCCCAAGCCCCAGCCTCTTTTGCCTAGTACTTTCTACCACTGTTCAGATCTCAATTCAAATGCCACCTTCCTGGGGGAGCCTTTTTTGATACCCCCCTCCCACTAGATGGCCCCTGCTCTACCCTCTCCTAGCATCCTGCATTCATAGCATGTATGCCCATTTGTTTTTTTTTATGTATATGATTATTTGATTAATGTCTGTCTCTGCACCAAGTGCATAGGCTCCCTGAGGTCATGAACCATGCCTGTCTCATTCACCATGGTAGCCCCAGTACCCAGCAAGTGCTTGGAGCATAGCAGAGCCCATGGTTGAACTCCCTCCTCCTGCCCCCATCTTTGGCATCACTGGGGAGCAGAGAAGTGACACCATAAAAGCTACCTCCCAGGCCTATGTGGAATGGGGGTCTATGTGGCTCACCAGGAGGGTCCCAGCCCATGTGACTACCCTCTTGGCATGAGAGGTTAGATCATTTTCATCAATGCTCAAAGAGAGAAGGTTGCAGGAGAGTCCACATCAACCGTGATCAAATCCCACTGCTATGTCCCTGGCTTTGTCCAGCTACATCTGGAAAAGGATATCTCCTTCCAAACATCTGGATGAGAAGGGCTGGTCAGAGGCCTATGAAGCTCCTGGGAGAGATGGCCCAGCAAGCTCAGTCCAGGGCTCGGATGGCCCGATCCTGGGATCTGTAGGGCAGCTTGTTTACAAAGCTACACGCAGGACAAGCCCCAAGAGCCAAGGGATAATAAAACATGGCCTTTGTCCCCCCTAGGCTGGATAAGGAGTCTCTAGGGGTATTGGGTTAGCACTGCACACGTCACTGTCCCTCAGCCTGATCCCTCCTCGGGGACCATCTGCTGGAGGTTGACGCACCCCTTGCAGGGCACAGCAGCTCTGCCATCCCTTTATCCACTCTCCTGGTCACTTGTTCTCTGCAGTATTATCCCTCTTCCCCGACTCCCATATCTCACAGGCAAACCTCACTTCACAGTTTTCTTGGCATCGCTACATATATTTCCCTCCTTTGAGCCTAACAAAAGCCCCATTTTACAGATGAGGATGCTGAGGCTTGAAGACCGGAGGCAGCTTGCCCAGCCTATGCAGCTGCTAAGGAGCAAAGCCAGCATGGGAATCCATGTCTTCTGGCTCCAAATTCAGCATTGTTTTCCCTCTTAATTCTTATTTCCTGTCTGTCTGAATAGCCCTCCAGTCCCCTTATCCTTAAAGCTCCCAAGAGCTCAACCAGAGCTCACTTCCAGGCTGTGATCTGGCCCTGACACTGGGGGGAGGTGTGAGAGCTTCTTGTCTGACAGTCTGAAAATAAGGCAGATTTTCACGGACCCAGAGAAGATATGCTGACCACCAAGATCTGTTCCATGTGCCTCGAGTGGTCCCTAGCCAGATTTCTGGGGAGTTCTCTTGGGGTGTGGGGGAGAGCAGCTTTCTAGGTGGTCTGGCTGCCAGTCCTGATGCCCTCAGCACTCACCCTCAGGCCCCCTGGGGCACTCCGCTCCCCCCCCCACCCCCAGGGGAACGCCTTTTGCATTAACCAAAGGCAGGATGATATCCCCAGTGAAGGGTTTTCAGGAGTGCTGAGCCCACTTTTAAAATAAGGCAAATCTGAGAGGGGAAGGGTCTGTTCCAGGCCACACAGCAAATTGGAGGAAATTCCAGAACGGGAGCCAAGTCTCCTGGCTTTTAATCCAGTGCTCTTCCCAGTGCACCCCGTATCATCACCCCTCCCCCACCATGTGTGTCACATAGCCAGTACTCCTTGTTCTAGACCGTACTTCCACATTTACTTGTCTCATCTATTGCACAATAGCCCTGTGAATTAAGTCTTTTTGGGGCTATTTCACATTAGGAAAAATAATCATTTGATAGATGGAGTGACAGAGACACAAAGAGTTAAGAATCATGCCCAGCAAATCAAGTCTTCAGGCTTCTAATCTTTTCATTAGACCAAGCTGCCTCGTGAACATGGCACCCTCCAACTGAATGATGACCCTTTCCAGAGCAGCATTTGTTGGAAGTTACCTTGGGCTAAATCAGGGAGCTGTGCATTTTAGGTACATTACCTCATCAAAGGCTCACCCTGTGAGGTAGGTATTAGCATCCCTGTGTTGTAAAGGAGAAAACTGAAGTTCAGAAATGCCCACGTTAATGGTGGTGAGAATCAAACTCAGGTCTATCTGACTTCAAAGGCCACCATGTGCCTTAAATCATGTAGGAAAGACCCACAGGCCCCGACCCAGTGCCTGACATATGACAGGTGTTCACTGAATGTTCACAGAGGGGGAGGGGAGAGAGAGGTTATACTCTCCGTTGAGACCCAGCTTGTGTCGGCAGAGGGCGGAGCGGGGGTGGTGCTGGGTTCAGATAGGAGATCTGTGTGTGATTATCTCATATGGGGCAAGATGCCGCCATCAGGCAGATGCCCACAGTGACAATGGAATACACCCTGCTCCTTATTCTCACATCTCTGAGTGTGGGGGATTTACGCCCTGCCTCTGACCCCAGGGAGGCTGGCTGCCCCAGTCCCATGGCCCTTGCCACTGTTTATCTGGCTTTCTTTGTACGCAAAGCTCTTCTTCTCTGAGAGTTCCCTGAGGGCAGAGGCTTAGCAGGATACATCTGGGCCCCCCACGCCCAGCCCAGGGTCTGGGCCACAGCAGGCATCGTTCAGCACGCCCTGAATTGAAGCATTGATGTCTGCTGGGGGGAGGGCCCTTTGGTGAGTGCTACAAAGAGGGGTCTATAAGTCAGCCTCTGCCAGATGTCCAACTGCTTTCTCTGCTCTGAGAGGGTCTGCTCCTCTAAGAATCTAGACAGTCTCTAAAATTGGGCTCTGGCTAAAAGGACAAAATGCCATGTAGGAAAAATCTGCCCACTGATCCTTTATGCCATTGCCCAAATGCCACCACCTTCAAGAAACCCTCCATGATGCCTCTGCTTGTAAGTGACCTCTCCCTGCTTGGGTGCCCTCACAGCCCAGTCTGTCTCTCCTTCCATCTTCCATCCTGTCCATGGTCTTTGTGTGACCTGGCAGGTCACTGGCCAAACTGCAAATTCTTGGAAGACAGAGCCAGCTCTCTGGCATCAATTTCATGCCTCTGATTCATGAAGACCCAATGACATTGAATTTGAGAGCCCCCTCCACCACCAGCACATGGTGCTGGGCCCTTCCCCAGCTCCTAGCAGGCCCAGACTCAGAGAAATGCTTCTCTAAATAGCAGTTTCTGCTAAACAATTTAAGAATGCTAATAAGTTGCATAGGAAATTGTATTATATACCCCAAAACCTAATTAGTGTACAGGGTGCAAGGGGGATATCTATTGCCTTAGCTCCTGTTATAAGGTATAAATACTTGGAAACTGGTGGCATTTTTACTAGGCTTTGTGATTAAGGTAGGAGCTCCTGGTCTCAGAAAACTGGAGTCACTGAAATGATGAAGTCCCTCAAAAACATCCTTAAGGACGAACTGAATCCCCCTTTCAAATCTGTTCTAGAGAGTCAGGTTTGGATGAGCCAGGAGAGATCAGATAGCCCCCTCTCTTTCCCACTCCATGTCCTCCTTTTATTTTATTGATGGGGAAACAGGCTCAGAAAGAGAAAGCAATGGCCCAAGGTCACATGGTGAGTTGGTGGCAGACTTGGGGCTGGGACTCAGGCCTGCAGACTCCCACTCAGTCCCTGCTGCTCTTTCAGGGCTCTGGGCATCACATGTTGGGTGCCTGACACGAATTAAACATTTGCTATGTGCTAAGCCCTGTGCTAAGCTCATGACATGCATCATCTTATTTGGTTTTCCCAGTAAAACTGGGATCGGTTCTATTATTTATACCCATTTCACCGATGAGGAAACTGAAGCTTAGATTGTTCACAGAACTGGGGGAAATAGCAGAACGGTACCAGTGGAGTTTGTTCCACAGGTTTGAAGCAAGTCAGAATATTTACCAAAAGCTGAAAGACATTGGCAGCAGGGTGTGCATTAGAAAGAGTGTTGGAATTGGAGTGTAGGCCCCTGCACTGACAAGTCAGCTATTTTCTTCGGAACCAAAACCTTGATTCCAAAGTCCAATTTGCTTAGGGGAGGGGAGATTTTCTTCTCCCTGGAAGCCTTTTGTGTACTACATGGAAAGTGCACCCAAGCTAAGGTAGAATAGAGAAAGTATGGCTATTCTGCCCACTCAGCGGATTCCGGACAGGGAGTGTGTAACCAATACTCCATGAGGGTTTCCTAAGATCTTCAGGGAAAACTCCGCGCCAGTCGCCTCAACCTGGCACTTCTACAGAAAGACGATAACCAACTGAAAATGAGACCCCAGAGCTGAACTCCACTTCCATCCCGGCACCCTGAGCCCGAAATGGCCCAGAGCGGAAACGATCCAGACACTCGTGCGTGTCACGGCCCACGCTGCACACGTGTCCCCCACTTGCACCCCCATCCCACACACACCTGTGGGCCGTCGCCCACACCTGCATCTCCTGAGGCCGTACGAAGGACTAGTCCTAAGGCCCGCTGAACCCGTCCAGACACTCCCAGTATCCCCATCCCGGCCCTCACCTCAGCTCGCCCTCGCGGCCCACGTCGATGGGTCCGTCGGACTCGCTGTCAGAGCCGTTCGGCTCCCTGGGCCGCTTCATGGCGAGCGCAGGCTCTGGGTCTCCGCGCGACCGTGCCGGCTCCCGGCCGGGAAGTCGGGCCCCGCCCCCGGCCCCGCCCCGGCCCCGCCCCGGCCCCGCCGCCCTTTCCCAGGGCCCTCTCCTGCGCCGCAGCCCCCGGCGCCCCGGCGCCCCCTCGCCCCCGCGGTGACGCGCAGGCCGAGCCGTGGGAAGGCCCCGGGCGGTCACCACCCCCTCCAACGGCTGGGAGGTCCGGCTCCGCTCCGCCGCCCTGGCCGCTGCGCGCTGGGTGGCCTTGGGCAGGTGCCCTTGGAGGCCCACCTCCGGGGAAGCCAGGGGTCCTCATCTGTCCCTGGTTCGCCCCGGGAGCTGCGGGTCTCTGGGGGCGCCGTTCCGCGATGCCCCAGTTTCTGCAAGGGTCGAACCCGCCGGCTCCTGCCTCCTGGGGTTCTGGAGGAGGCAGACACATCGGGTTTGGCGAGGTTGGTGGGGGTGGCTGTGGCCTGATCCTTGACGAGAATCCTCCAGCAGCTTTTCCCACAGGGGTCCAAAGCATGTGGAATGAGTGTGTGTTGGGCGGGCGGTCGGGGGGAGTGGGGAGGCTCCAACATGAGATAAGCGGCTGTCACCCCCCCCCAAGGGACAGCTGAAGATGCGGCGGTACGGCGGCTCTGGCCAAGAGAACTGGACTGGGTGGTGGGGGCGGTGGGTGTCCCTGGGAATCCATTCCCAGTTACCAGAGGCAGAGCTGGCCTGGGAGGCCAAGAGCGCCAGGAGAGGGCTCCATTCCCAAAGCTGTGGCAGGGCCTCAAAAAAGGGGGTGGGGAAGTACTCTTCAGCCTCCCTTCCTGGGTCCCCCCACACAACCAGACCAAACTGTTCACTCAGTGGGGACTGCAGCTGAGAAGGGAGACTCAAGGAAGATTCTCAGGGATTCACCAGCCATCCTCATAGCCCAGTACCTCAGGGAAGCCCCCAAGGCTCGGAAGGAAGCAGAATGGGAACAGCCTGCAAGGTGGACTTCAAGGGCAGGGAGGAGGAGACGGGAAGGTCTTGATGTGGTGGGTCAGACACCAGAGAAGTCTCTCCCTTTCACCTGCCCACCAGGACACAGACAAAGCCACCCCTTTGCTTGGGAGAATAGGGCTGGTCATCTGAGAATAACTGCACTTTCCAGACCTGCTTGGGAACACTTGAT